TCACCAAGAAAGAGAGTACGTAGATAGAAGATAATGTGTTCACTGGATAATAGGACAAAATGGAAGGGCAAAAAAGGATAATAGGGCAAAATTAGAAAAGTGTAAATAAATTTGAGTGGTTCTAGCCATGACCCTTTCTGGATAGTGACAGGTGGCAGTAGTATTCTGTTATTTGCTAAATTTGGTCCACTTTCATCTAATTTTTAGGGAATTGGATTATTTGATTAAGAATAATTTTCATACAGACAAGTGAGAGAAGCCATATGAGATAAAAGTTAATGAAGTAGTTTTTTGCTTTGTTAATTTTTTTAAAAAAGATTGTTATGACAAAGCTTGCTCAATTAACTTTTTTAAAAGTGCTTTGCAAAATTCAGATCATGCTGCCCCCAAAATTGTTATTGTAGTATTTTTCCCATCCCACTCACATGCCAAAAATCTAGAGTAATCAATAAAAGGAATGTTTCATTTCAAAGGAAATGGCTTATAATGCCTGAACAATTTGAACAGAAAGAATAGACTTTTTACAAACTCCTAGTTAACCGAATTAAATTGCTTTCTTGGAAGTAGCTAAAACTGACAGAGGCCCCACCCAAAGGATCAGATCATCTGTGTGGTGTAAGTACAACGGAGTTAGGCTCTTCAGTGGCTTTTGTATTCAGGATTCTACTCAAATTTCTCCTTTCTTTTAGTTACTGTCTCCTTTCTGCCTTCTTACAATCATCAGCAAGAGCAGATCTTGTTTCACCTTTTCTGTTTTCCAGTTGTATTCTGTTGACTAATATTGTGATAGATTGAAGTTAATTTATATAGGAAAGAACTTTGTACTACTAAGCCTGCCCACCTATTCAAGTTATCTCACTGGATCAGCAGTACCAACTCCAATGTCAATGGGAATTAACAATTTTTTTTTGCACAAAAAGGAATCTTTTCATACTTATTCTCCAAAATCATATGTAACCTAAGCCCCAAAGCCCATTAGTATGGAACCCTCTCTTCATTGATGGGAATCAGTGCTCCTTACCCGTGTGTGAAGGACAAGGTGGAGTTGATGAAAGCAGGAGAGAAGAGGGAGCTGTCTCTTCAGTTTCTTTAGGTTCTTCTGGTTTTCAAGTTCAAGAGAGATCTACAGTGTTTACTTCTCTTCATATTGATAAAGGAAGAAAAAGACACTGGGAAGAAACCACCCTGAAGAATTTCAATCATGTCTCTATCTACAGCTTGCTATGCTAGAGACTTCTAAGAATTTCTGTTTGGGTGCGATCTGGGACACGCTCAGTTAAACTAAGTTAACTCTTTCCCATAGAGAGCACTCATTCAATATGTATTGTCTGACATATTTTCATATGCATATTTTATCTGATTTCTGTTTTTCTATGGACTTGGACAAATGCTATGTGTATTCATTTTGGAAATGGTATTTGGTGGGAAGGTAGTCAAGCCTTGGATATAAAGCTTATGGCTCCCCTTCTCTTCTTCACTAAAAAGTAGTGATCAGAAGTTTTTTTTTTGATGAGCAATTGGGGTTAAGTGACTTGCCTAGGCTCACACAGCTAGTAAATGTTAAGTATCTGAGGCTGGATTTGAACTGAAATCCTCCTGACTCCAGGGCCAGTGCTCTATCCACTATACCACCTAGCTGCCCCAGTGATCAGTGGTTTAGCTTGAACCTTAAAATTACATCTCCTTGAATGTTCCTTAAGGGAACAGAAATGTAATTCTACTTTGTTACCCCTTCTTTCGGAGGAGAGCAGAATGTCAGCCTCTGGCTCCACCTCCTGCTTCTATTGTAGGAATTAAAGTCTCCCTTGAAGAAGAGTGGAGGAAGAAATATTCGAAATGTATTAGTTATTCCTGCTTCTCTATGAGCCATGTGATACCCCTTGGTGTATACATATATACATACATATGTAATACACATATGTAAATACCCATATGTATATAGGGATCTAGAGTCAGCCTTAGGCATAATTATGAAGAATACAACACTTTTATTTAGTACCTTCTCAGAACTCTTTTTAATAACTTTCTCTTCACTTTCAGAGCCTTCATGCTCTTTTCCCTTCTTTCTGTCTAGAACCCTCATTACATCACCCTTTGCCCTAGATCTTCATCCTTACAGGCTTTCTCCCCCATGAAAGCTCCTGCCCTGTGTCCTATTCCTTATAGCTCATACACATACTGTATGCACATATCCTGACTCCTTCATTAAATTATAAGCTTCTCTAGGGCTAGGACTATCTTTTGACTTGTTTTGTTTTTGTGTGTTAGGCACAGAGATTGGCACATAGTAAATGCTTAATAAATGTTTGTTGATTGATTGATTGAGGAGCAGAAATATTGGAGGAGAACCAGGGGAGGGCAGTGTTATGGAAGCCAAAAGAGGAAAGACTAACAAGGAGGTCAGGTGGTCAACAATGTGAAACGCTATATAAAGTTTTCTCAGGATGAGGATTGAGAAAAGTCTATTAGATATGATCATTAAGATAGTAATGAGCATAGAAAGAACAGGATCAGTAGATTGGTGTGGATAGAAGCCAGACTGCAAGGGGGTTGAGAAGTGGACAGGTTGTGAGGAATTGGAAGGAGGGAGAAGTTGTCTAGAAGTTTAATATCTTAAAGGGAGGAGAGATAGATGACTGTGAAGGCTGAGCAGGGTTGAGGGAAAGTTTTGACACAATATCCTCTGAGGCAGGTAGGACATGTAATATCTTCATTTTATAGATGTGGAAATTTAGGCTCAAAGGAGTCAAGTATGGACCAGTCACTCCATAGCTTTGGGCCGATTTCATTTGCAAAATGAAGTGATTGGACTTACATCTGTCCAAACTATGGTTTCTGCCAGTCAGTTAAGAAGTATCTATTAAGGGCATACAATGTGCTATATTATACCGTGTTAAACATGGGAAATACAAAGGCAAAAACATGGTCTCCACTCTCAAAGAACTCATATTCTTTTGGGTAAGATAACATGCAAAAATTGACATATATAAAATACAAAGTATAAATGTAAGATAATTTCAGAGATGGGACACTAGAAATTGGGAGAGCGAAGACCTGGAAAGGCCTCAGGTAGAAGATGGGATTTGAGCTGATTCTTGAAGCAATCCAGGAGGCAGAGGTGATGAGAGAGAACATTCCAGGCATATGGGATAGCCAGTGAAAAAGTGAAATTCAGTGTTACACTGCTAGTGAGTGGTTGAGCTGGGACTTAAACGCAGGTGTTCAAGCTTCCATATTTGGTGCCCTTTCCATTATACCACATTAGAAATAGCAAAAATAAAACCTCAGCTTTTGTCATTACCATAAACATATTACTTATCAAACATTTATTGAACAACAACTTGGATGCACAGAAACATCCTTCACAGAACTCATTAGTTAAGTCTGGAAAACAGTGTTAATTGCTTAATGATGAGATTTTTTTTTTCATACAAACAAAAGAACAGATCTACATCTGGTATAGGAGATTGTTTCTCTCTTTTTCCTTCCCTCCCTTCTTCCTCCCTTCCTTCTTTCCCAGATTACAACTTCTCTACATCTTAGTAGACATTCCATGAGTTCTTGTGACTGAGAAAAATTCACCTCTTAGTGGCCCCACCCTGGTTGACGAACATTTCGGAACCTAAGCCTTGTTTTTGCAGATATACAGGCCATCATTCATTTTATATGGAATATTAAGGATATATTTATATATAATATTGTCTCCCAAGAATAGGATGTAAGCTTCTCGAGGGCAGGGGCTATTTCATTTTAAAGATTTGTATTCCCAGCATTTAGCACAACACTTGGCATATAGCAGGCACTTAATAAATGCTTGTTGATCGATTCACCAGAGTTTCTGGGCTAAGACTTTCTAGTTAGATAAAACCTGTTAGAATTTCTGAAGTCTTGGAAAAGCCTTCCAAAAAAACACAGGGTCCCGTCCATGCTTTAATAAGGCCACAGAAGACTTCAGTTGATGATTTGTTATAACACTACTTCATTTGTTTAAAGTCATTAATGAAAAAGAAAACTAAACCAACACCAGAAGCACACCTCTTCTATATGCTGCAACAATAAGTTTTTATATTCCCAGAAATCTGGCAGCAAGGAGTAATTTCACAGCGTCCCTCCAGAGCTTCTTAGAATCGGCTTCTCTCTACGTGTAACAGCTTCCGATAGATTCACAGAATTTGGGAGTTGGAAAAGATCTCATCTGATCTCTAATCAAACCCACACCTGAAACTATAATTTACATTTTGCATGTATGCAAAATACACGAAAAAATATGTGCTGGTTGTGTATTGTCTTCTCTTAAGTTTTATCTCCCCTCCACCTCCCGCTGGGTATTGGATCTTTGCGATTTAATTCAAAGGGTGTGATAGCTCTGCGCACCCAATGGGGATTAAAGAAGCCAGGTCTGATGAATTCCACGCTTTCGGGTGGGTGGTGGGTGGGATGAAGACCAGTATGATTAGTCCCAGGAAAAAGTGTTCTGTTTGATCCAGGGAACACATGGCGGGGTTAAAGGGAGCATTTCACACATGCATGCAAAAATGAGCTGAAGAAAGGCATGTGGAGCCTAGCAAGCCAGTAATCGTGGCGGGAAGGGAGGCAGCGCGTGCCATCAGTTGGCAGTTCGCGCCTCAAGGCGCCGGTCCCTGGGTCTGGGTAAGGATGGGGGTGGGGTGCGGAGAAGGCTAGGCCTATGGAGCCCAGTATGCTTGTCATTCTTCGATGCCCCTTCTGCCCCTTGCCCACCCCACATTTCTCCTGCTCCCCTCCCCTGCCTTAAAGCCGACAGGGAATGGGTGGGTGATGGAGGGAAAAGCCGGGTGGGGGAGGGGCGGCGAGGCTCGGTGACAGCGCGTGTGCTCCCCCCTCCCGCAAGCAGGCAGGGGCGGGGGGAGGGTGCGTGCTCCCCCCGCCTGTGAGGGGCAGGGAAGGGGAGTGGTGGTGGGGCAGCGCGTGTTCTCCTCCCCTACCCCGGGGGGGGGGGGAAGCTGGGTGGGGGCGGGGCGGCGCGGTGACGTTGCCAGGGATGCGGACAGGTTCCGCCGCCGCCGCCGCCGCCGTCTCCTCCTCCTCCTCCTCGCCTGCTGCCGGGGTTTGTATGAAAACACCGGGCGGCTGGCGGCGAGTGACCCGTGGGGACCCTCCGGGAGAAGCAGCCCCTGCCGCCGCCCGAGCCGGAGCCGCAGCAGGAGCTGGAGGCCGCCCTTCCTTCTAGGCCCGTCCCTCTCCCCGCCCAGAGCCGGTAAGAGGAGGTGTCGGCCCCGCTCCCCTCTCCGCCCCCAGCTCTGCAGCGGCGCCGCCGGGGGCCCGCACCCCGGCCCGGCTCCCGGGGGCACGACGGGCCCGGGACGGCCCGGCGGGAAGCCTTGACAGGCGGCTGGGCGGGCCCGGGAGGCAGCGGATGCTCGGTGAGGAAGGTCTCGGTGTTGTGGAGGAGGAGGAAGAAGGAGGAGGAATCTGGGGGGGGCCCAGAGGTGGGTCCCTGAGACCCTCTCCCCCCTCCCTCCGCCGGCCCTCCCGCTCTGCACCCTCAGCCATACTGGGCTCGGCCTTTCAAGAACGTGACTGGGCTTTTCTTTTTTTTCTTTTTTTTTTGAGGGGGGGGCGTATTTTTATTTGAGGAAGCGGGGGGGAGCCTGGTAGGCCGGGGATCCCAGTCTCTCAGGGGAAGTGTTAGGTCTCCTGCTCTTCTCCCACCCCGCCTGGCTCGCCAGTGCATGGGGGCCCTGGATTGTCCCGGGAGGAGTGAGGAGTGAGGCAGCGCCGGGCTGCGGCCGTCCGCTGTTGCAGTGCCAGCCCCGAGCTTCGCGGGGGGATTGCGAGGCGAGCTGCGAGGCTTCGGGGCCGATCTTTCCCAGCCCCGCGTTGCTTTGTCAGCCTTCAGTCCCGTAACTGGATCCCCTTCCTTTTGGAAACCTGCTGCAGGCCTTTTGGGATAGGGGTAGGGAAAAAGAAGGCAGTGAAGGAGGTGTAAGCTCGAGCTTTATGCTTATACTGTTCCCTAATGGGTTTGTCGGGAGGCAAGTGTTCTGTTTACTACTACTTGTCACCTTGTGGGTTTGGCTTGAGCAATCATCAGTTCACCCTAGATGACAGTGCATAGTTTTCCTACTCTCCTCCCTAGTTACTCCTGAGGAAATTGCAAGTCGAGCACTAAGGAGCTACGTGAGTATTTTTTTTTTCTGGTTTTAAACATTTGTGCTCTGTGTTTCAGTCTCGGGTGTGTCCGTTTCATTGTGTTAGGCGTGCAGTGGTGTTTGTATTGGTGGGTAACCTTTCTATGACTTTTCCTACATATGCATGTGGACTGGCATTCTGTCGGGTTACAGGAAGGAGTACTGACTCAAGAGGCTAGCAGACCAGGGTGGAGGGTGGGTTTCAAATCCTCCCTCTGCCTCTTACTACCTGGGTGACCTTGGACAAATCTTAACTTCTCCGGGCCTTATGTTCTTCATCCATAAAACGAGAGGGCTGAACTCCAAGATGGCCTTTGAGGTCTTTTTCTTTCTTTCTTTTTTTTCATTTTCCTTAACATTTTTTATTTAAAGTTTTGAGTTCCAAATTCTATTCCTCCTTCCCTGCCCTCCTCTCCCTCCCTGAGACGGTAAGCAATTAGATATAGGTTATACTTGTGTAATTATGTAAAACGTTTCCATACTAGTCATCTTATACAAGAAGACTCGAATAAAAGAAAAAAAAGAAAATGAAAAATAGTATGCTTTAGTCTATTTTCAGTCAATATCAGTTCTTTTTTTCTGGAGGCGGTTAGTATGCTCCATCCTTAGTCCTTTGGGATTGTCTTGAATCATTGTATTGCTGAGAATAGTTAAGTCGTTCCAGTTCTTCATCGAACAATATTTCTATTACCGTGTACAATGTTCTCCTGATTCTGTTTACTTCACTGTGCATCAGTTTATGTAAGTCTTTCCAGGTTTTTCTGAAATCATCCTGCTTGTTATTTCTTATAGCACAATAATATTCCATTACAATCATATACTGTAGCTTGTTTAGCCATTCCCCGTTGATGGGCATTTCTTTGATTTCCAATTCTTAGCCATTGAGGTCTTTTTCTACAATAAATCTATGATCTGTGACATGTCCTACTTTCATGAGTATTGATGAAAACCCAATCCTCATTCCCTCCCCCCACTTTTCTAATATTGCTTGTCAGAGAAAGTTTATGATCCAGCAGTATTGATGACCTAAAACTGTATGACACTTGCAGATAGTATTGTACTGTATTTGGATGCATTTTTGGGTGTCTTTGTAAAGTGAAATTATTCAGCAGTTTTTAATCATTCATTTTTAATCAAATGTCAGTTTTTCCATTCAGAGACAATATTTGTATTTGTAAAGATTAAATTGGGTAGATTTGATATTTGGATGTTAGACTATATTACCACTTGAGTATAGAGATACATTTATTCTTTCTACAAATTTCCTTTGTACCAAGACAATTGGAAATTTCTGCTTAGTGAAATAAATAGAAATGATTAGCATTTGTCCTTCATCTTCTGCACTTGAGTTAAATTAGTTTTGCCATACTACAGTTTTACCAGCTTAAAATGGCACTAAGACTTTTGGGACATCTTGCCTTTCTTTTAATGTTACAGATTAAAAAAAATTAATGACTTCCTGGAGTATCTTTTAAAAAAGCCCTGAAAATATCTTAGAAGTCTTTTTTTTTTCTGAGTGCAACATTCTTGAAACAATAGTATCCTTTTCCTCTTCATTCCCTTAAAAAGATTTGGAAAAAATTATTCAGAGACCTTATGTAAGTTATCCGTTATGTCAGAAGCCTTCACAACTTTCTCTTTATATTTCTATGAACAGACCCATTTTGAAGAACTTCACGTATTTCCTTGAAATGATTTTCCAGAAACTGAAATTGTTTGTTTACCTACATGAGGAAATGCTGAGTATAGAGCCTCACTTCTTTAACTTAACCCTTTTAAAATTAGGAGACGTGATTTATTTGGTACCGTATCCTAAAGCAATAAGCAGATTTTTTTAAAAACAAGGTCACTTAAATATTGAATGGATTATAATTTTTTAGTTACATAGTACAGCAACTCTAGTAATTTTGTGCCTGTAATGGAAGGAAAAAATATCCAGAGTACTTTACTTTTATATAATCATATATGGTGGAGGTTACTTATTGCAAGTTTGGTTTAGGAATACTGGAAGGAAATCTGGTTTACGGTTCTGGTTTTTCCTGTTTGCTTTTTGACCCTGGCCAAGTCATATACCTTCTCTGAGCTTGTTTTTAATCTGTAAAACTGGCCCAAGAATACGTGTATTATCCACTTCACAGGGTTGTTTTGGGGGAAACACTCTAAATCAGCTATCTAAATGTGAGCTATTGTTAGCAGTCACTTTAGAAGATTTTGTGTACTTGTTCCATAATTGACCCTCTGCAGATCCATTCTTTCTGACTGGTCCCAGAAGTGAGGAGTGATTAGTAATAGATCTGTCAGTGCTCAAGTAAGCAATCTTTACAGTTTGGGAAGACATCCTTTGGGACCTGAGTCACCACACTGAACACTACAAAATTTTTTAGGATTAGCTTTATGAATATTAGAAACTGTACTTTCTAGGATGCTTCACTATACTAATACTTGCAGCCATTCCAAAAGACCGTGTAGCTCCAAATAGACTTTGGGGAAAACATGGTCTGATAATGCAACCCAACCCCACATTAAGGCTCAGTTGGATCCCTTTGGACCTGCAGCAGGGCTGGGTCTCACTGCTCTGCCTTAATAGCTACAGCCAGTTACTAAGAGCAGTGAGGATGCTGTTGGAGTGTTGTGTCCCTTTTAGTGCTGACAGAACCTTGGACTGTCTTTCTGATATTAGCAATGTTTATCATTTTAGTTACCTGTTATGAGAAGGTGATTATTTCCATGATTGTGTTAAGTTCTTCCTTCAAAAGTGTGATCTTGTTAAGCCCTATTCATGTACAGTATATTCATGAACCAATGATCTTTCAGTCAAAAAACATTTATACAGTGCTGTGCCAGCTACCTTGCTGGAGGTATAAAGACAGAAGTGAACTAGTCATTACCCTCAGGGAGCTTCCATTTTCTTAGAAGAGACAGCATGTATGTATGTAGATAACAAAATATTATTTATTCTTTGTTTTTGAAGAGGACTAATGACATCAAAATAAATACAAAATGAATGGGGAGAAATCCAGAATGGTAGATAATCAAAATCACTTAAACTTGAGCATATTATGAATGTTTGATATTTTGGAAATGTCACAATGTGAAGGCCTGACTCATGTTCTGGAAACCTGTTGAGCCTCTCAATCCTGATCTCCCTGTTTACCTTCTTCCTATTTCATGCTAAGGATGAACCAGTCTAAACAGCTTTTGGGAAAGGATTATTTACTTTCATATGAAAAAGATTCCTAATGGGGCTATAAACTAAATCTGAGAGTAAAAAAGAGTAATTCTGTTAACCTTAGAGAAAAAATGTTAATAATAGTATAAGTTATCAACTTCAGTTAATAGCTGACAATATCTAGGCCTCTTACAAATGACAAATGGATTATAATAATTTTTGAAGGATAGGGAATTTCTAGATTTATAAGCATTATATATTAATGCCTGTTTTTGGAGAAGTAGACATTGGATGTTTTTAAATTTTATTGTTATCTTTTGTTTTTATATGACCATTTCTTTTTCTTTTTTAAAAATTAATTTATTTGTAGTTTTCAACATTCACTTGCATAAGATTTTGAGTTCTAAATTTTCTCCTCTCCCCCCCCCCAAGACGGCATACAATCTGATATAGGCTCTACATATGCATTCATATTAAACATATATTCACATTAGTCATGTTGTAAAGAAGAATTAGAACCAATGGGAAGTACCATGAGAAAAACAACAACAGCAAAAAGACAGCAAGTGCTATGCTTCTATCTGCATTCAAATTCCATAGTTATTTTTCTGGATATAGATAGCATTTTCCATCATGGGTCTTTTGGAGTTGTCTTAGATCCTTGCATTGCTGAGAAGAGCTAAGTTATCAAAGTTGGTCATCGTACAATATGACTGTTACTGTGTACCATGTTCTCCTGGTTCTGCTCACTTCACTCAGCATCAGTTCATGTAAATCTTTCCAAAATAACCATCATTTCTGAAAACATGCTTCTTCCTCTCCAACTAGCCATTCCTTATAACTAAGAATAAAAGAGAAGGAAAAATAGTTCAGCAAAACTAAATAATACATGAACAG